CCCCAAAACCCCAAAACCCCAAAACCCCAAAAGACAGTGTTTGTGCAAATGAGCGACGTTAATTTAATGATTAATTATGATATTTTAAATTATAATTTGGATAATAAAAATTAATCAATGAGTTACAATAAATCAAGCATATCCCCTGCTAGGTGTAAGCATTCATTCAAAATAAAATTTCTACAAGATTATCAAACAGCTGCATTAGGATTCGGAAAGGAATTTGAAAGAGCTTTCAAAAAATTATTTGATCCATGTAAAATCATATGAATATCATTATTTTGTCATTAGAAACGAGAAAATTGACTGATGAGGCTGTGAGTGCTTGCAATTTAATTGGAATTAATCCTCAAGATCTCTATGAAAAGTATGAATTAGAATGGCTAATTAAATTTTCAATTAGGTCCTTTGAAACCTTTAAAGAAACAGCTGAAAATGAAGAAATAGCTTAAATGAGATTCCAGCATTTCGAATAGCGCAGAAGAAACAAATTAAAGCTTGTATCAGATGCCATAAATGAAAATTTAAGAAATAGTATGGACTCAATTACGATAATTTTATATATTTAGGGGCGTAGAGTAGTAATGGAGCAGGCATGAATCTTGATATAGATAAATCTATGGGGTTTGCTAATAAGACATAAGCAGGAAAAGCTATATTTTTTAATACTCGCATAAACAGAGTATCATCTGTACATAATGCAACTAGATAAAAAACAATGTTCAGCGAGGGAAATAATTCGAGACAGATGGATTATTTTGACGGCATGAATTCATCTGCAGAAAGAATGGGCAACCTTAATACTGAAAGAGATCAAATTAAAATACAAAAGCTACTTAAAATAAAAGAAAATATTGAATCTTTGGCTAAAAAAGAAGCAATGAGATATCAATCTATGATGAAGAAGAGCGAAAAAAGAGAAAAGTTAGCAAAAGAATATAAAAAAGCACTTATTGATGAGGCAAAGATGAGGAAAGTGAAATATGATTCACGCCGTATTTAAGCTAAAGATCTTGTATAAAAATCTGTTACAGCTAGTGAGTAAAAGGGTGTCAAAATTTACTCCTAGTATATTAAAGACATTGAGAAAAGACTGGATGAGGAAAAAAAGAAAGAGAAATAAATGTCATTTCAAGAATATGAGAACTATAAAAAGAGGTTCGAGCACTCCCTCCAAAATTCTTCATTTTATAATGATAAGTTACGAGATAAAGATAATGAAACTTTAATTAACCTAGGCTAACTTGACAATAGATTGAACTAGGGTTTTGATCGTTCAATAATGCATAGATCTGAAAAAGCTCAAAGAGCATCATACTACACTGAAAAGGTACATAATTATACTTCCATTCAATTATATAGATACAAAAAGTTAAGCAGGACCATGATGTGATGGAATAGGATAAACTTGAAAAAATATTTTCTAAGTATGTTAAAAAGAGGATGGAGAGTGAAGATAAAATAGTAACAATTCTTTATCTTTATATTTTATTCATAGAATCGAAGGATTAAAGATAACCAAAGACTATGGAAGACTCAAAGAAAGAATTTTGATGAGAAGTTTTAAAGAATAAAAGATCAATAAAAAATGCTATAAAAAGAACTTGACATAAAGAGAAAAACTATTCTTGAGAAGCATGCAAAGGAAGGAGAACTGCACAAAGAAGCGCAGTAGTTTATTTAGGAGGAGACTTAAAAGAAGCGAGAATGGTCGAATTTGAAGCGAACAGATCAATAGGAGAACCTTTCTATCAATAATAGGAAAAAAGAGCTACTCAAGGAGAGATTAATAGAGAAACATATTGTACTTAAGAAATAATTAGAAGGATATAAACAATAACAAAACTTGGTTCTAGAACATAGGAAGAGGTAGGACAAGGAAAGGAGAAAATTAACAGAAGAAATAGTTGAAACAAGTCATAGTGCATTTAGAAAGAGACTTATGAGCCAGAGTTTAGGTCCTAGTTAAGGCCTTGGAGGAAAAGATGATGATGAGAAGAATAGAGATATTAACGAAACTAAATGATATATTTGATTTCTAGACAAGAAAATTTTACATTTTTGATTACCTTATTGTTCAATTTTTTACTATCTTTATTATATTCCAGAGTTAAGGGGTTTTGGGGTTTTGGGG